CTCGAGGTGAAGAACGAGAATTCATCAGCAGACAATTGGGGCTCCCTCGGTAAAGAAGGAGCTAAAGGAAACACTAAGAGTAGTTATAATTCTAAGGGACCCAGCAAAGGGTCCAGGATGCAGGATCTTGAACGGGAGATTGAAGTGTTACGCAAGGAACACGTCCGACTCGAATCAAGTTTACGGGAAGCGTCTTGCGATGCTCAAAATCTTCTTGAACTACGTACCGAGCTCACCTCTCTCAAGGTAATATTTCAATATTATATTCAATGTCTATAAAAAATTTTAAACCTGTTTTTTTTACATAATTTATTTAAAATTTCGATTTTAAATTAATTTTATTAAATTATAAATATTTTCATAAGAGATATTTTATACTTCAATATATAATATTTATATTTAATATATAAAATATTTATATATTATATAATATAATATATATGTTATTTCTAAAAGTTTAGTTTTGAAAATAGTAGTAATTTCAAATTTTAAAATATATTTATAATTTGAAAAAATTTTAATAAGAATTTTAAAATCAAATTGATTAAATCAAAAAAGATATATATATTGTTACTATTTACTGTCATTACTATTTACTATTATTTGTTTTCAATTCGATTCTTTTTACTTCTCTTATTTTCAATTTTTTTTTACGTATAAAATTACTTAATATATTTATAAATTTATTTTTTTCATTTCATTATTCATGTAAAATTATTATATAAAGAAACAAATTTCATGAACATTTTTTATGCGATGAAGAAGATTGATTTTATTTATTAATATTAAAAGCAGATAATTTTTTTCTCTTGTTATATTTTTTTGATATTAAAAAACAGATATTATGCAATCAATAAAGTTAATCTTATAATTTAATTTAAAAATGCATTTGAATGTTTACTAAATTTATTAAATTACAAATAATTTATAAAAAAAATGAAAATTAATTTTTTATGAATTAGTTAAATTGTCATTTTGTTTATGTAAATAATTCTATAAAATATGATTTCACCTATTTAAAAATAACCAGAGGGCGTAAAATATAAGGATGTTTACAAAGGAAGAAAATTTGTGAAGTGAAGCGACTGTGAACGCTATGAAAAAACGTTGTTTCTCTTTATAGTATGGTAAAGAAATACTTCGTTTTATAAATTGTTTCTATAACGAATCATAAATAGTAATTAACAATTATTTAAAAAATTGTGAGATATTTGATCAAACGTTTGTGAACTTAACCTAAAATAAAGATTTATTCGTCGTATAATCAGGGAAGATCATACGAAAATTCACCTTGAATTAGAAACTTAGTATTCTCAATATCATCACAATATTATTATACTACTAGACATATTGTATTTCTTCATGCTACTCGGTTCGAATAATTAGAATACAATCATCATATTCTGATTTATGTAAGCGTCTGACACCATGTTTTTAATAAAATAAATAAAACTGCAAAAAAATCGAGAGAAAAAAATATAAACATTTTTATCAGTTTTGACAATAGAAAATGTTATAATAATAAAATAATATATTTTACAATTTTATTTTCGTTTTTAATACTTTTAAAATTTTTTAATTAATAAAAGATTTCATGATTTTATTTTTATTAATTATAGGAACAGCATAGTTTGGAGTTAGAACGTCTTACTGAAGAAAATGAAACTCTTCGAGCAAGACTCAGAGATGTAGCTCATTCTCCTTTATCAGATTCAGAGAAACAACAATTACTTTTGGATGCCTCAAGATTACACAATTCTGCACCAGCATCAATAGCGATTCCTCAAGATGAAGGATCCATATCTGTTACAACTATATCCCAAGATAATGCTCAGTGTACTACCCCAGATTGGGATAAACATTCTTCTAGTTCTGTATCAGAAGTTTCTGTTGCATGTCTACAAGATAGAATTTTGCAAATGGAAGAAACTCATTATTCAACAAATGAGGAGTTACAAGCAACAATTCAAGAATTAAGCGATTTACAAGTATGTAATTATAAAGTAAACTTTATAAAATTAAATAATAATATAATAATATAACTATAAAATTCTCTTAATTTGTAGGCTCAGCTTACAGAACTACAAGCTGACAATGAAAGATTAACAGAAGAAAAAGATGTGCTGCTAGAATCATTATGTAGACAAACAGAAAAACTTGAAGACTCTCGTTCCAAAGTTGATACATTACAAGGTCTATTATTAAGAGAAGAGCAACCTCAAGAATCTTCCAAAGGATATAATACAGAACGAGAACAGAAATTAGTAGATCTTCTAAAAGTAAATACTCTTAATTTTAAAGCATTAAACTATGACATCCAATCATTTTTTAAATTAATCAATTACAGAGTGCACAAGAAGAACGAGAATCTTTGCTACAAAAACAAGAAGAATTAACATCTGAACTAAAAAATCTTCGAGCAGCTGCAGAAATTAATGCCACAGAAACGGAACGATTAACAAAATGTGTCCATCTGTTAGAATCCTCAGTGGAGACAGCAAATATTGAAAGAAAGCAACTAGATATGGAACTAACAGAAGCTAGACAAGAAGGTGCAAATCGAAATATAGAAATCAGCAGGTTAACTACGCTATTAGAAAATGCTCGAGCGAAAATCGAAGAATTAGAACAATCGAGACAAGTGGAAAATAAAAGTGAAGCAGATGAACTTTTAGATGCTGCTAGAAGAGAAAAAGACACTTTAGAGACGCAAGCGGCAGCCTTGCAAGAGCAATTAGCGCGTTCGCATTGCGATCACGATCGTCTTAGAGATCAATATTCACAACTTCAAGAAGAATACAAAGTATGTTTAATAAAAAAAAATATATATATATATATATATATAATCATAAAAATAAATTTAATATATTTTAGGTAGCGCGTAATAATGCTAAATCAGCCATTGATGATTTGGAATACAGATTGAATCAATTGAAGGACGAAAGATTATCTGTGAGTACAGAACTACAACTTGTGAGGGATTCCTTAGCAGAGTTGCAAGCACAATGTCAAAGACATTTGGAAGATAAAAGAGAATTAAAGGCCGCATTAAATGAAGCTCAAAGAAGGGAACGTGATGTTCAGTCGCGCCAGTATGAATTAGAACGTGCCTTGACTGAAGAACGTAAATTGAGACAAGAAGAGATCACTGAATGGGAACAATTTCAGACAGATCTCTTAATGACCGTTCGTGTTGCAAACGATTTTAAAACGGAGGCACAAAGTGAGTTAGAACGAGTTGTAATGGAGAATAAAGCACAGAGAGATAAATTAAGAGCATTAGAAGCGCAACTTGATAAGTTAAATAAAGGTAAGTAAACTATTTTTAAAAGCTTTTATTTTATATATTGTTATCTAATATACTGTTAAAAAAAAATATATAATTATCACAATTATAATAGGGAAACAAAATTTAATATATATCATAATATATATCATTTAATATAAATCAATTTATATTATATGCTTATATGCTATGCTAAGGCAGTTTTAAACAAACAATAAAAAAACCAGGAATATAATGATTAATTCAATGCATATTATTTGTTTTTCTTTATTTTTTTTTTTTTTTTTTTT